GTAACGAATGGGAGACTCACAATAACACTTGCGTCGATCACCCGCAGGCCCGAAGCACCCTTCACGCGCAGCTCCGAGTCCACGACAGACCAGTCAGCATCAGCGGGGCCCATCGCCGCCGTGCCGCATGCGTGGGCGTTACTCTGCGCGGTCGAACGCACATACGCTTCCAGATCAGCCTCTGTCGTGTTGAAGCTGATCCCGTCCACGATCGACACCGGCGCAATCTCCTGCCATGCGGGCTTCTCGAGGAACCCAAGACCGAGCTGCAGCGCCGCGACGGCCGCCTTCACATCGAAGTCATGCGTGAGGAAGTTCGGGTTGATGAGCGGATCCGCCTGCGGCGCAGAGGCGTTCAGCGTGATGCTCCCGCGCGAGAACGGCGTGAGCGTGCCAACACCGAGCGTGATGAAGTGCTGGCCCGCGGGGGGAAGTGTCTGGATAGGCACGTTCCACCCGTTCTGGACGCTCATCTCGATGTGCGGGGTGTTCTTGCCGGGAGCCGGGTCCCCGTACTGCTTCACGAGCGCCTCGGGGACACGCGACCACATGATGTGCCCCGGCAGCGTGTCTGCGAGGGGGCCTGTGCGCGACGTGTTCCACTGCGCAAATGCGGATGCCATGTACGTCTCGTTGCGCCAGAGGTCGTCCCATGTGTCAGTTGTATTGACGCGGAACTTGATAGAGGCCGTCGGGTGGTCCGAGAGGTTCTTGCCTACGCTGGGAGAGTCGACAAGTGGGGTAATGTTGAAGGTGCGCAGCTCGGATGCAGGGCCAATACCAGAATTGAGCAAAAGATGCGGAGTGCGCACTGCGCCGGTACTGAGGATAACTTCCTTCGAGGCGGTGATGTTGTACGTGGTCGTATCGTCGGCTGGAATCGGCGCGTCAATGGGTGAAAGGATAGGATGACGAAAGAAAGATGCATACAGCCGTCAACGATGTACTCGACAGTAGTGAACTCTTTGCCGGTTGTGGGTACAACGCGCAGAGCACGCGCATGAATGAGAACATCCAAGTTAGGGCGATTGATGAACTTGGGTGCGAGGTACGATGCCTGCGCACTGCTACGTTCGCCGTTCCCGATGGTGGCCTGCGACCAACCTGATACCTTCGTAAATACCAGGCAAATCACATAGGTAGCAAGATGCGTACCAACGCCTTTAGCAGCACCGACGTTCACATCAGGAAGTAGAGGGTAATCCTGAGGGAACTGCTTGATTGTACGGAGAACACGCTCGTCCGTGGGATGCGGGTACGCAGCCAAACTGACGGAGTTGATACCGGTGGAGTGATGGATGGCAGGGAGGAACTCGCCACGATCGCTGTTGTTGGCATGAGCAGGGATTTCCCACTTTTCGTTGCGAGCGATGTAGGGCTGAAGCGCGTTCCATGACCAACGCGAGTCGCCAACATGTTGCGCGTAACGATTGTAATCATCGGCTGTGCCGCGCGAGTAGAGCATGCCATCTGCACAACACAGCGCGTGAGCCTCTAACGGCCACATAGATGAAGGAAAGATACGCACTGACGGCAGTACCTCCACCGAGACCACGACCCTGAACGTACGAGATTGACTGATTATTCAACCCTACTTGAGGGATGGTGGTGTAGTTCCAGTAGTTCTGCGGGACACCAAGAATGGCGTACAGCGGTACGGTGTTGTTGATATTGCCCGTGGTGCTGTAGCCAGCCTCCAACAGCAGAACAGTGAACTTCTCCTCAGTCAGGCGGTTTGCAACGACCGCGCCTGACGCGCCGCCTGCGTGCACGAAGTTAACATCACGTAACATGATAACATAGTGTAAGGCGTACCTCCGACGACGACAAAGTCGTATTTGCGCTTTGGGAGGTCTGCTGGAGACTCATAAAGCTTGGCGTAGGCAGCAGAGCCAGCGAGTACCAAAGGGAGGAGGGTGGCTAAGGAGCGCATCGTGACCGCGGAGTCGAAGTCGGGAGTGGCGATAGCGAAGCCCTGGGAGCACAGCGCCCTTGGAGCCTCTTATACGAGTTTGCATGGTGATACGACAGTCGTCCGACGAGTTCGAACGCTGCATTGCGAGCTACGCGGCCAAGGTACGGCAGTGGCACACTGGGGCGGATCAGTTGGCTCGGAATAGCAATTGGAGTTGTGATTAGATCGTGGAGGTGTCCAGAGTCCTGCATACATCAGGGTGGTTCGAGGCGATGCAGCCTCGGAACTGCGCAACCAGGACGGTACCAAGTACTCTCTCCTGCGCTTAGCCCGCTTGATCCTTGTTGCGTCGAATCCAGGCTCTCAATGAAAGCAAAGAGTATGCGATCAGAATGGCCTCAGCGTGTTCGGAGAGTGTCGAGGCGCTCGAGCAGCAACAGAGAAGGTGATGAAATTGCTTGACCAAATCTCGGCGGCGTTTCGGTGAGTGACTCGCGTCACGTGATTGTATGTCACAGACATCTTCCGAGGACAGTGCTTCTCTTCGTAGAAACGCTTTAGGCTTCTCCCGTACCAGATCCTTCTTCTCTTTCTCCTTCTACGATGACTGCATCCCCTAGAAGTAAATAAGTACGGCACACATTCGCAGCTTTGTCCCCCCGCTCGTACGACGCTCCTGCTTGATGAGCCCGAGCTCGCCGGTGACCGTATTCCCTGTCGAGAGACTGCTCCGTGGACATGCGCACGATCATCGCACATCTCGCCCCCTCATGACTATGCACCTGGCTCCAAGTGCCCCTGGGGCCTCTTACATGCGCGCTCGGTAACCCCAGGGCTTTACATAGATGTAGGGCCGAGCGTCTCTGGTGTCTGTTTTGCTTCAGGTCCCAGCCGCGAGCGTCAGTCCTTCCATTTCATTATCGATTCATCACCGACAAACTAAGCCCGCCAGAGCATCACCGTTGCGCCGTGCCTTTGCCTAGCGAAAACTCTTCATCAAATTACTTGTTCGTTGAATGGCCACCGACATGCGCGGGCAGCTTTACAATACTGGTATACCCGGGTTCCTGTTGCTGAGATCCGACAACTTGGTCGATGCATCGGGCGTGCCTCGTATAAAGCCGGCGCCGTATTCCCGGGTACAGTGGGGAAGTTAGGGCGTATCGGTATTACTAGATCCGGTGTGCACGGAACGGGATGCTTGGAAGGCTCGGCTTCCGTGTTTCCTGACTCCTCATCCATGTGTCTTCAGTGGCTCTGTACTCGAGCATGTGGCACTAGAAGCCAAATTTGACGCTGATCCTGGCGCGACTATACCCGTACATGTTTCTCCATATACAGCGACCCTCGGGAAGTCGGAGCGCGTCTGCCATGTCTTGGAGGGAAGGAAAGCGGCTACCACTGCCTACCAGACGCGCAAGGCACAACACTGATCATCCATATCGTCGTGGCGTCTCTGATCGGCAGCGGAGGCAGTGGTGTATCATGTCATGTTTCATCGATTTTACTCACCACCCCCGTCATCATGAGCAATCCAGCTCAGTGCAGTCCGCCATGTCCGGTATGTACGGCATCGCCTTCGCGACTAAATTTTCATAGCATCCGCGTAGCGTTTGAATATTTCATTTTCACTGGAGCGGCATGTCGAGATATTACGGTGCGATGCGTCCTTCTCGCTATACGTAAACGCGCCTGCAGTGTAAGAAAACGTAGGCAAGAGAAACCAGATTTTGTAGTCCAAGAGTCGAACTTATCGGACGGAAAGGGCTGGATGCTTGTTGCTATTGACATTGGAGTGTAAAACAATTTTTCGCGGTACTGACGTCGCCCAAAGAATTTCCGAAATGTATGATGAAAAAGGTCACAATAGCGACCAGTCAAGACAAGAATACCATCACTAACGAATTGGCTTCAGAAATTGGCGTTTGATTGTCACGAACATGAAGCAGAAGTGGCGTCGTGTCTTGTGAGCAGTCTAGACAGCTCATTATATTATCTATAGCGGATCCAACATGACGAGTGGTCGCGCAACCAAGACTCATTCGAATTCATCAATGAGATATAATGCCTGAAAATAATTGTAGTGAGTGCTGGGAGTGGAATATTTTGGTAGATTTGCAGACTCTTGCCTGAAGTTAGAGGAGAGCAGCGGATGTGCCGTACACAAAATTCGCTTGGCGCAAGCAATCTCAACGTCGGTGAGGGTCACGAGCATAAGCGCAAGAGTACATACGCGAGTGGCTGCCGCATCTGGAGCGACCACCTCCCCGTCCCTTCAGATTTCCAAACCACGATCTACGGAAGCCTAACAGGTTCCGGGAACTACCTCTGGATCTGTCTGCGCAATGGGAATCTCCAGAGCAGGTTGATAAGGTTGCATGGATGAGATCAAGGAGATAGGCTCCTTGTGTCCGCTTTCCGTGGGTTCGGATTGACTCAATCACGAATGTGGTTTCGTAAGAATCGTAGAATGTTGGCTGGCGAAGCCTGGGCGATCTAGATCGCGATGAGGGGGTGTGTACGTGCACGTCGGGGCAACGTCGAGATAAGTGACGGTCAAAGCTGCAAAGGCGAGTCGGCCCGATAGAGCAAGAAAGTCAGCTTCCACGCGGAACCTTACATGCAGACGTACATTGCAGTCAATCAGCTAAGTGTGTGTCGGGAAAGAGGACGGGAAAGAGCTCACCTGGCTGGATTGAGATTGAAGATGCTTCCACTCAGTGTGAGTGAGCAAAGCACTGAAGCTTGCACCGCATGCACTGACGGATCACTATGTGGACACAAGAGATCTGCATATCCGAAGTTTATATGATCAGTTTGTCGTGCGCCACGTTCTCTTTTCGGTCACGATTTTCCACCTGTCGCACGCACAAGGTCAGTTGATACCGTCGTTTCGTTCGATCCAAGACGTCGTTTGTCTTCGCAATACCGGCCTTATGTCATTGATGTACGAGGAAATTGTGTTGGGTGTTGGCATATGAGGGTCTGAGGAAAAGGTTGTTCAGCGCGCGAAGTGTACTGAGCTAGGGCCAAGAATGTGATGTCTCTAGACTGATGTCGAGCATGACAATCACAAGCTCTCAATGGCCTGGTGGTCTAGTAGTATGATTCCTTCTTAGGGCTTTGAGACATCGTTTGCTACATTTGGAGGAGGTCCCGGGTTCAATTCCCGGCCAGGCCCATTGGAAAATCGCCATGTGATATTTTTTCTTGGTGATTCGAGGCCCTTGTAGGGTAGCAAGGTGGGGGACCGATCAATTGTATTAACTCATGGAAAAACTGTTCGAATATCTTTCGTTCCTTCGCTTTATTATAGATGAAAAAATATATAGGCAAGCAAAAATCAAAATGTTTACTCTGGATCTGTTCTCCATACCCACTCATAACCGTCCTCGTCCCGCTTCTAAATGCAAGATCAATGGGCTCCACTCTTTATCAGGTCCGCTGCCCGCTCCGCCACGACATAGACAGGAACCTGCGTGTGTACACTTGGCACAAATGGCCACACGCTAGCATCGACGACGCGCAAGCCCTGCACACCACGCACCCGCAGCTCCGGGTCGACAACGCCCCACTCTGCATGCGCCGGCGCCATACCCGCTGTGCCCGTCTGTCTCCATCCGGCCGTTGTCTGAGTCCTCAAGAAGCTGTCCATTGCGGTGGCGTTGACGCTGCCGTCGGGCAGAAGCACGGCCTCGAGTCCTGCTGTGGGAGCCTGGACGTACGATGACCATACGGGTGCAGAGAGGAAGCGTTGGGCGACACGGACACCCTGCGCGAGCGCGAAGATGTCGAAGGGATGCGTGAACATGCCGAGGTCGACGATGGGCGCGCCGTACGGGTCAGACGCGTTGAGTGTGATGGAGCCGCGCGAGAGAGGCGTGACGACGAAGTTCTCCATGCTGATGGAGGACGTATTCGAGAGGCCACCCTCCTACAGACGAGACGACGGGTCAGTAAGGTAAACTGCGCGGGAAGGAATATTGTGAGACATACAACGAGAGTGAGGATCAGGTGCGGCGCGGTCGTGCCGCTCGACGGGTCGCCGTACTTCTCAAGCTCACTCTTGACGTCGCTGTCGCTTTCGTTCAAGCGCACGGAGAAGAGGTGGTTGCTGACTCCATTTGCGAACGGACCCGTCCTACTCTCGACCCACTGCTCCAGGGACGCGTTCGCGAACGTTGCGTTGAGCCGAATCTTGTCGTACAATGTGTTCGTCGAGTTGACAAGCCATGTGAGGATCACCGTGTTGTAGTCGCTCAAATTCTGCCCCACAGCAGGGAGATCTACAAGAGGAGTGATTCCCAGCGCAGACAACGCGGTGTGGTTACCAATGCCGGAATTGAGCAGTAGCTGCGGGCTGCCGAACGTTCCTGCGGCGAGCAGCACCTCGTGCTTCGCACTGACATGCAGAGGAGTGCCAGTGCTGAACGACGGCAGGTACTCGACGGTGTTGATAGTGCCATTTGGCTTGGAAGACAAAACGCGGCGTGCGGTGGTGTTGAGGAGGACGTGTAGGTTAGAGCGCGAGAGGTAAGATGGACCAAGGTACGACGTGGCTGCGCTCTCACGCGTGCCGTTGCGGATCGTGTACTGGTACCAGCCTAAATTTTGATCAGCATCTATCGCTTGAGACAGGGATACAGGCACGTACCGACACCGAGTGGCTTGCCACTGTTGTAGTCAAGGTTGAATGCGAACTCGCCGCCAAGCTGCGAAACGGCAGAGTTGACGTATGGGTCGGTCTCGTAGTCCCAGTTCGGGAGAGTCGTGCCGACAATACCGGTCGTACTGTGGACCTTGGGATCATATTCACCCGTCGTGTTGTGCCCATTCACCGAGGGGCCCAATTTCTCGTTCTGTTCTGAGTTGAGCAAGGATTGGCGGCAAGGAATGAAGGCGCGCACCTTTTTAAAGTACGGCTGCATGGCACTCCACGACCAGCCAGGTTCCTCAGTGAGCATCGCAAGGCGATCCCAGTCAGCAGCAGGGCCGCGCGAATAGTACATGCCATCTAACGGTGATATAAGTAACGACACAAAATATATAGGGATTGAACGTACTGATGGTGCTGGTCCCACCAAGGACACGACCCCGAGGATAGTCAAGAACACGGTCGGCCGCCTGCGTCTGCCTATACACGCGCACGGACATTATTAAATGTTAGTAGTGAACATGTGAAGAGAAAAAACAGACGTACGGGACGGTGGTGGTGTTCCAGTTCCATAACGGGTCGTGGGGCCCATAGAGGTTGTAGAATGGTACCTCAAGCTCAAGCGCGCCCGCACCGCTGCAATGAATTCTCATGAGCAGGGACCATGTTTTTAGGGTGAAACTTACGAGGGGCCTGCCTCAAGCACCAAGACCTGTGTGTTACGGTCTTCTGAGAGACGATTGGCAAGGACACTGCCTGCCGTTCCAGCTGAATACATGGAGATGGGTCAGCGTCAGGCCAGGCAAGACACGAGATGACGCACCTCCGACAATGATATAGTCGTATGTCTGGCTCGGCAGCTTGCTAGTATCGTCGTACACCGTCGCACTGCACGCAACAATTGCCGCGAGCAGCGCACCGAAGCGAGTCTTGAGAGCCATCGTGTTGACTGATTATTCGACTCCTGCGCGAGTACAATTCCAAGAGGCCAAGGGAGGGAGGGGAATGTACTGGGGTAAATAAGGCATTGGCAGGCTATTTGTAGGGGAAGGAGCCGCCCTGGGGGGGTGCAGTGGCGCTGGATGCATGGGGAAGGAACGGATCTGCCATACAGAGGCGGTTGCGCCATGTTCGGATACGAAGGTTCCTTCAAGGCACCCTGCTACGCGTCTACCGGCGTCTGCAAATCGATTGATGATGCGACGGAAATACGCCTTTCGATTATTTGACACATGCTGGCCTATTTCCATACACCTACCACTGTAAGGGCTAATTGAGATCAACTGGCTGGAGCCGGGCGTACAGCTTCCCGATTCCCAAGGATCTTTTCTGTCCGTCCGGCGTCCGCAACGGAGCGGCTGAACGCGAGAGTACCATGAGCAACGTTGCCACTGCAGTGCCATACAGTTGGTCACTGCAGGGACCCCGAGGATCGTGAGGTCCTTATCCCAAGAGTGTTCAGAGGCTTCGGCACCGTAGCCTCTGGATCTGTCGTAACGTTGTCAGCACTGCTAGCGCCGGTGGACAAAGCGACACTATTGGAACCAACGTGCACTGGATCGGCGATGCACTTCATCGAGATCCTAGATCCCGCACGTGCCCAATACTCCAGAGTGTCTAGGCCTGATGAAAGTTGGGCGAAGCAAAAGTGAAAATTATCACATGGCGATGTTCCAAGGGGCCTGGCCGGGAATTGAACCCGGGACCTCCTCCAATCAGCAGAACAGTGTTCTGGGGCACAAGTTCAACCCGAAGAAGGAATCATACTACTAGACCACCAGGCCATTGGCTGCGATAAAACACCTGACAACCACTACCGCCCGCGTCGAACTGTTGTAAATAAACATTTTCTGCACCATCGTATTCGATCATTCGCGAGACGGAATGTCAAAATAACGGTCACAAGAAGAAAGGGCCTGGCCGGGAATTGAACCCGGGACCTCCTCCAAGTACTGCAAACAATCGTTAAGGCTCAAGCCCTAAGAAGGAATCATACTACTAGACCACCAGGCCACTGACGATGACGTGTATACATACCATCATCGAGATAGTCGGCACATTGTGTCTCGTGTTGATTTGCTGAGGCTGCGAAACCTGAGAGCTCCAGATCCAAGTCGACGATGAACCCCATTCACAACAACCTTCTTGTGAGGTTGTGCCTTTCACTTTCTCTGGCTCATGCAATGACCTTGTTTCCAGCAACTTATACACCCGTTAATTGTGTGGTATCCCTTGCAGGCTGCCGCCAATCTTTGACATGAATCATGGAGTATCCATTGCTTTGACTGCTGGCAGATAAGCTCACGAGTGGAAGGATTTACGACGTAGACTCCGACTCGGAACTTGTGTGCATGTCATATCTGGGTTCGTGTCACGTCTCTTGCTCCCCTCACGTATGGTGATCCTCGAGACTACAGCGCCCCCCTCCCTGAGAATCTTCTGGCACTGTATGCACTGCCCTGCTCTTGATGTCCCAACAAGAGCTTGCGCTCATCCGTAATGCGGCTGCCCACGGTCTGTTTGGACCGGCCAGCTCGGTTTGCTGTAGACCCTAATGATGGGGTCCTGCTCATCCTCGTGCTTCAGGTGTGGGTCGGACGAAGCGAGACTGTCCGCTCTCTCCCATGACCACCCGATGCTGGCATCTAACGGTACAGAAGTATCACGCTATGCACACTTCCTTTGTGCCCTCGAAATGATATTATCTGTGTGCTTCGAGATGCTTCAGCTCGCGCACCACAGCCCATCTATACATCTATCTCTTTGGGATAACTCCACTCCATATAACTTGGATGTAGGGCGTATTTTTTCGATTGATCCTATGCTCTCCCTGGCTTTCGTTACCCATCATTCCGACTCATCATTTCATGACCACCTGCGTCAGATTCTCCAAACCCTGCAATTGGAAAACTTACGAGCACTTGTCTTTCGCAATCCTGTCGGGAGAAGAAGTCCAGAATCTTATCCTGTCTCGCTGCAAGACCATCTCCGACGTTATCTTGTTCCTGAAGACAAGGTCATCACGTAAGTACGAGGATCCTGAAGAATGCCATGAGTTGCTTCGATGCTTGACTACTTGACGACTGCTTCGTTCATGGCTGTCGCCTCTACACATACCTCCATCAGTTATCGGTGGGCAGACACCGCGCGGGCCATGCAATACGACAGTTGAGGATTGAATTCTGCGATATCGAATTCCTCGGGGTGGAATTACTTCAATCGGCAGGCTCGCAAGTTCTGTGGGACGGGTTCACTAGCGGAAACTCGGACGTATTATGCGCTGAAATGACAGACAAGGAGGAAGTGGAGGCCGAAGCGCTGATGGTTCGCATATATTTGACGCTGATGGGTCTGACGAAGAACCATGAAATAGACGCATTGTAATCCAATCGGGATGTCATCCTGTTATATGTTCGTCCTCGAAAGCTTAGTCGTATCCTATATGGAGTGCACACAAAGGCCATCTGGCTCTGATTGTCACCGCTCAGAAAAAAATGGTAATGGGTATGTTCTAAGTGTTCGCCGGTTCGCTGCGCTTTTTACTTTTCTTCTCCTTACGTCTGGTACCCTCCGTGCGTTCCTCTCCCCGTTTGCTTTTCTTCTCCTTGGCATCTACGTTAACTGTAGAGCTCGCATCGTCGGCCTCTTTCGACTTCTTTTTCGGCTGTACCTCCAGAGAAATATGCTCTAAGGCAACGCCTTCGTTTTCCGGATCCTGCTCCTCGACCTTTCTCTTTTCCACCTTGGTTACCTTCATCGCTTGGTAGCCCTCATCGGCATCGTCCCCGTTGTCCCCCTTTGCTCTCCGTTTCTTCTTCTCTTCCTTTTCCCTCTTCCTCTCCTCCTTGGCTTTCCTCCGTTCTGCCTTTTCGTCGTTCGTCTCCACTGTCGCCGTGACATCCTCCATAACCACCTCGATTTGTTCTTCGAGAGTCATCGTTGCTGCACCCGCACCGTCGCTCGCACGGGAGAACATTGCAGCGAATTTTGAAGACCCTGCGATACCGATTCCCATTCCCCCGCGATTAGGTTCGTCATCATTGCTGGTGTATGAACCCAGCCCTCCACGGGCGCCAAGTCCCACTCTGGGGCGCTCTTCGTCCTCGTCGTAGGCATCTGGGGTACGAGCTGTGCTGGAGCTGGAGCTGGGATTGGCACTTGCTGGCCGGGATTTCGCGAGAAGTTTTTCTTTGAAGTAATCAGCAACGGATAGTGTTGCCTTCGTCAGTTTTTGCATCTCCTCAAGCTCAGCGATACCTTCATTCGGGTCCGTAAGCTTGGGCATTTCGGGAGCGGCAGGAACAGGTGTAGAGGGGATGGAAGATGATGGGATTCCGAGGATCTCGGAGAGTGCAGCAGGTGTACGCGAAGCTAGTCGCTTCATCGCAACATTGCGCGCACGGTGAGAAAGAGGGCTACATAAGATAGCGTGCCATTAGATACAGCGAGACAAGTCTAAATGTGAACGTACGGAGGGCGTCTTGGGGCCGGCGCTGCAATCGGCACATCCACGACAGTGGTAATGTCTGCAGAGGGTGTAGCGGAAGCGCTGCTTTCTGCGTCTTGCTTTGTCTCGCCCGAAGCGGACGCGCTATCGTCTGCCTTGGTTTTGGATTTTTTGCGCTTCTTCCGCTCTCCATCGTCTTCTACATCAGCCTCTCGCGCCTTCCTCTTCTTCTTCTCTTCCTTCCTCGCCCTCTTCTCTCGCTTTCTCTTCTCCTTTTCCGTTTCCTCGATCTCCTCACCAGCGACATCGTCCTCTTCCTCATCCTTCTTCGCCTTTTGCACCTCTTCCGTCGCCCTGTCAAATCCCTCAATCCCGCTCGCATCCATGCCTTCACTCTTTCCGTTCAATCTCGCCAACAATCGTTCGAAATCCTTGTTTTGCTTCCATGCGATCCCGTTCGCATCGCGCTGGTGCTGCATCCCAATGCCGAGCATGTCGAGCTTTTGGCTCACCTTGATCGCACTTGTGCGTCCGCTGCCCTCCGCGCCGAGCCCCTGCGAAGGATCCCAGCCTAGCTTCGAGAGGTATGTCTGGCCAAACTTGGCTGCATCTGTCGCGGTCGCGAGGTATTTAGTAAGTGTATTGAAGATCAATTGAAAACGCACTGTCGGCCCAGGAGAGGTTACGTGGGTCATGTCCGATGCGCTGTTTGACTTTTCGGCCAGAGAGACCCATGGTAAATTTTGTTGTCGCGGTTGTGGTTGGTGGTTTCGTGATGGTGAGACTGACTATCCGGCGTGGATTTGGCGTGTACGTAATCAAAATTTGCGTCGCATCCGGGATTTGCCTTTTCGCCAAACTGTCGGCCATAGCTCCCCTTTGGACTTGCACTGAGACATTGAGCAGCGAGAGTCACTGTCACAAACAATGTATTATCGTGCAGCAGTTGAGTCGAATAAAGACGATAGTGGATAAGTGAGGAATATAGCAGTGGATATGTACAAGGGAAGTACTTGGAGCCCGTCAGTACTATGCTGTCAAGTCACAACCGTCGTTAATCATGATGTACAAACAACCTGAACTGGGATGGAGGTGAGAGAACGCGGAGCGTGCAAAAGGCCGGGAGGCAAAGCCAATCCAAGAGGCACAGGCGTGTGTAGTGGGAGACGGTCAGTGAGTGAGGTAAAGGTGAGAGTGCGCGAGATATGGGGAACACGAAACAAGAACCCAGCAAGACGAAGCAGCGAGATGAAGCAAGAGGAGACCGATAATTTACTCAGCTAATGCACAAATGATACAAATGCAATCCTACACCGAGCGCGCCGCCTATTTGTGCGAACACCACACCTCGAGGCGACCCTCGGGCTTGCCCTTCGCGCTTTCGCGGGCAGTCTCGATCGCGAGCTCGTAGTCGCTCTCGTCACGGAGGCTCACCTTGCCGCCATCCTCGTCCTTGAACTTCAGGGTAATGTCCTTCGGCTCTGCGTCGAACTTGTCTGCGACGCGCTGCAGGAACTCGGGGTACGAGATCGCTGGGTCGAGTGCCATGCCGCGCACCTCGTCCTCAAAGTGAATCTGCAGCTCCGTCGTAAGCCACTGCCTTCACCCGAATAGAATAGACCACGTACCTTGACCCGGATCTTCGTAAGCTCGTAGACCTCATCCCATTCTCCACTGCCGGTGACATAGCCCTCTTCATCCTCGTCATACATGCTCGGTGCCATCGTCGTCCTACGCGTCCCGCGCCTCCTGATCGTGCCCGAGCGCACCGTCCCACCATACTGGCTCATCGCACGCGCCGACGGCGGAGGTGCACCGGAGTTACTCCGTGCCCAGGCAGCGACACGGTCGGGCTGGGAAGCGGGCGCCGGTGCTGCCTGCAGGCGGTCGGCCTGTCCGGGAAGCGGCGGCAGCGCGGGTGTCGGGTCCGTATACGAATCGATATACGAATCGTAGAACTCGGTCATGCGCGACGAATCAGGCTCTGCATGAAGACGATGTCAGACAACGATGGACCGCAAAGCTTGTGAGAAACGCACTCTTTGCCGTGCGCGGCGGACTGCCCTCGCCGGGGCCCGCACCAGCCTTGTTACGCATGCTCGGCCCCCGCGACATACCGCGCGCTGACGCAGGCGGAGGGAATCGGGCACTGGCAGGACCATTTGCGGAGGGCGCCACGGCGCTGGCGCTGCGCGCCAGGCCGCCGCCAGGGCCGGATGGCGATGTCGGGCTGTTGCGTGCGGCGGTGATGCGTGCACGCGCGTCGGCCGGGACATTGAGCGTGGTGTTGGCGCGTTGCAGCGTGCGCGGCTCGACGTCCAGGCCTGAAGCGTGTCAGCTCAAGTCGAGAAGGGTGGTGAGACGGTAACATACCAGGTGCGGGGCGCTGTGCGGGTGTGGTCTGACTGCGGCTGAGGCCGGTGTTAGCAGCAGCTGCGGAGGCGAGGTCCATGTCAGGACGATCGACGAATGTCTTTGTCGGGCCCATTCCCTGCTTCAGACGTGTCACACCGGTAAAGGTGGTGTATGCCTCGGAGGCGTCTTCGGAAGCGACTAGGCGCTGAGA